TTCCTTAATATGGCTGGGTTTTGGAGGAAATTTTCTAAGGCAGAATATATCTTGAACTTTGTCCTCTTCCCTCTGTGCATAGTTTGTTATTTCCAGAGCCTAAGGATAGTGAAAATAACTCTTGACTTCTCAACCAGCACGAAATCAGGTTGCCACTTTAGAACATTGCACTAAATTGTGGTTAAAAGTTCATTTTTTCCTTGGTGATAAATCTGTGCTGATCTGTAGATGGCTTTTAATATGTAAGGGGTCTAAATAAACATTACTTTTCTACAATAAGAGACATTTCTCCTTTACTTCTTCCAAAGCCACCTAAATTCTTTGGCTTAAGCTAAAGCAGAGGCTGACAGTTTCAATAAAGAGGTAGCTAGATACAGATTTTTCCTTTTTGAGAGACTTTTCTTCAAAGACCTGAAGTTTTGTAGAGCAGAAAAACTAGCAGCCAGGGCTCTAAAGTCTAATTCTTATCCAAATTTGATCACTACTTTTTCAACATTCCAAAAAGGAAAAATTAAACCTTTCTTAGAAAAGAGTCTCTAAGAAATGCAAGGAGATAAAACAACAGGAAAACTTTGGAGATAGTGAAAAACAACATAAGAACTCTTGATAAGTAAATCAAAGACTAATATATCTCTTACATTCTAAGGCTGCAGGTCTTCACGAATAATTATTTCCCATTTATCTTCTCTGTAATGTTTGGTGCTGGGATACAAAGATTAAAAAGAGAAGTTTTCCCTTAAAGTACTCATCATTATCTTAAGATGGCATCAAGAAATAAACTTATTAAATTTGTCTGCCTGAGCTTCTAGACAGAATAGAAAAATCTAGAGTTTTTGTGTCATCAGAGAATAGAAGTGGTGGTACACGGCGAAAACTGACCACAAGAGAGGGTTCCTCCTGTGACAGAAGATGGGTTTTAATTCTTGTTATGACCTGTTAAACAATAGAAGGGGTGGGAAGAGGTGGCAGAGTCCCCACAACCTCCCAGATTGTCCTCTCCAAGCCTCCGGCTTACCTCAATGTTTGTTTCCTGAGCAGGGTCAAGGTCCTGGTGTGACTCCAGCTTTTCGATTTGGCCTTCCAAGGATACCACCTCATTTAATAAGCTGCAAACAGACCAAGAGATGGGCTAAGTCCATGGATTAAGAAAAATCACTTAGTGGACAATCTTTTTTGATATTTTTTAAAAAGATAATTTTGAATCTTTCACAAGTGAAATTCTATTCCTATGTAAGAGAACTCTTGGACAGTGATTGTGTTGGAATGGGAAGACATAAATGCAGTTCAAAAAAGTAAAACACACTCTAAATAATTTAGATAATAGTAAAGAAATGTAAGACCCAACTGGATACAGGAGCAAAAGATTTAAATGATTAAAATTAAAGCTTAGTTAAAGTTCTAGGGTTGGGGGAGGGGGGGGAAACAAAAAAACAACGGAAAATCTTAGAGAACTAGGACTAAGCAGAGAGACCTTAAACTTGACACCAAAAGCATTACTGATAATGAAGGAACATTGATAAACTGGACCTCATTAAAATTGAAAACTTTTGCTTTGCTAAAGACTGTTAAATAGATTTGCATGTCCCATGTCTGGCAAAGGTCTTACATCTAGGAAATATAAAAACCTCTCAAAACTCAACATTAAAAAATGAACTTTCCAATTAGAAAATGAAAAAAAAAAAAGACATGTAGAGACATTTCACTAGGGAGATATATAGACGGCAAATAAACATGCGAAATAAACACATCATCACCATTAGCCACTAGAGATTTGCAAATTAAAACTGCAATGAGATAACACTATACATTATCAGATGTCTAAAATAGTGATAATGCTAAATGCTAGTGTGGATGAGGATGTGGAGAAATTGGATCACTCATACATTGGTGATGAGAATGTAAAAGGGTACAACCACTCTGGAAAATAGTTTGGCAGTTTCTGTCAAAACTAAAAACAGACTTAGCACATGAGCTGGTTATTTCACTCTTGGACAATTGAAAAATGAAGACTTATTTTCACATATGATTATTCAAAGTAGCTTTTTTCCACAGTAGCCCCAAACTGGGTAAATGGTTAACCAAACTATATACAAATATAGATGCATACCATGGACTACTACTCAGCAATGAAAAGGAATATTGATACATGCAACAGTTTGAATGAACCTCAAGGAAATTATGCCGAGTGAAAAAGCCAATCTCAAAAGAATATATATCGTATGATTCAATTTATGTAATATTCATGAAATGACATAATTATAGACGTGTGGAACAGATTTGTTGTTGCCAAAGGTTAGGGAAAGGTGGGAGAGAATGGGTATGGCTATAAAGGAGTAACTAAAAGGAGTTAAAAATCTCACCACAATGAAATCTCCAGACACTATGACCTCACTGGTGAATTCAACCAAACATTTAAGGAAGAAATTATGACAATTTTACACAAACTCATCCAGAAAATAAAACAAGTAGGAAAACATCTCAATTTTTTCTATGAAGTAAGTATTATTATGATACTAACCCTAGACATTACAATATAAAAAAAGTGGACCAATATCTCTCATTAACAAACATGTAAAAATTCCATTGTAGTAAAGTGAATCCTACAACATATAAAAAGGATAATATAATATAAGCAAGTAGGGTTTATTCTGGGAATTTAAGACTGGTTCAGCATTCAAAAATTAGTCATTATAATTTTCCATGTTAAGACTGTAAACAGTGAAAGCTATTTTTAAAAATTTGGTATCATTCTGATTTTAAAAACATCTCAGTAAAGTAGGAATATAAGAAAATTTCTCAATCCAAAGAATGACATAAAAAAAAAAAAAAGCCCAGCTAACATCACATTTAATGCTTTCCCTGTCGGATCGAGAACACGGTAAGCATGTCCTCTATCTGCTGTCACCCTATGTATTCAACATTGTACTAGAGACTCTGGCCAATACAATTAGGCAACAAAAAGAAGTAAAAGGCATACAGATTGGAAAGGAAGATATAAACCAGTCTCTACTTGCAGATGACATGATTATCCATGTGGAAAAAAACAAATAACCTGTAAAAACTACTGGAGTTAATAAATGAGTTTAATAAGGTCACAAGACACAAGGTCAATATACAAAAATCAGTTGTATTTCTATATAGAAATTGAAAAATTTTAAGTATAATTTATAGTAGCATTTAAAACATGAAATACATAGGCACAAATCTAACAAAGTATAAAATACCTGTATAGTAAACACTATACAAAACGGATGGAAGGAATCAAAGACTTAAATAAATAGATATACTGTATTCATTCACTAGAAGAATCAATGTTGCTAAAATGCTCATTCTTCCCAGATTTACCTGTAGATTAATGGTAGTTCTAATCACAGAATTGACAAGCTGATTCTAAAATATAGCAAAAAGCAAAAAGAAGAATAGCCAAAAACCTATATGTGAATGTTTACAGTGTCTTTATTCATAGTTGCCAAAAAATCTAAATATACTTCAATTAGTGGATGGATAAACTGTGGTATATTTATACAATAGAATACTATTCAGCAACAAAAAGAAACAAACTACTGATCATGGAACAACGTGGGGGAATCTCAGATGCATTAGGCTAAGTGAAAGAAGAAAGATTCAAAAGGTTATCTACTGCGTGATTTTATTTATGTGACAACTGGAAAAGGGCTAGAAATCAGTGGTTACCAGCAGCTTAGCCAGGAAGAGTGGTTAACTATAAAAGGGTATAAGGGGTTTGCAGAGTGATAAAAATGTTCTATATCTTCACTGTGGTGTCTATACAACTGTATGCATTTTTCAAAACTTACAGAAACCTTACAATAAAAAACATTACTATATGTAACAAATGTTAGAGAGGATGCAGAGAAAAAGGAACCCTCATACGCTGCCGGTAGGATTGCAAATTGGTACAGCCACTATGGAAAACAGTATGGAGGTTCTTCAAAATACTAAGAATTGATCTACCATATGATACAGCAATCCCTCTTCTAAAGGAATTAAAATCAGCATCTTGAAGAGGTATCTGCATACCCATGTTCACTGTAGCATTATTCACAATATCTAAAACATGAACGCAACCTAAATATCCATCAACAGATGAATTAATAGAAAAAATGTGGTATATACACACAATGGAATATTATGCAGCCTTTAAGAAGAAGGAAATCATGCTAGGTGAAATAAGCAAAACACAGAAGGACAAATACTACATGATATGACTTATATGATGAAACAAAAATAATCAGGCTCATAGGAGCAGAGAACAAAATGGTGGTTGCCAGGGTCTGGGAAAAGGAAGAAATGGGGAGGCATTAAAAAAAAGCACAAGTGATAAAAGAAAAAATTCCCTTTAATCATCGGTAGATGGTTAAAGGGGGTAGGGGGAGGGTAAAGTGGGTAAAAGGGATCAAATATAAGGTAGTTGAAGGAAACTGGACTTTGGGCAGTAAAAACACAATAGAATATACAGATATCAAGTTATAATATACTCCTGAAAATTATATAATTGTATTAACCAATGTTACCCCAATAAACTTAATTTAAAAATAAATAATTAATTAAATAAATAAAAAGTTAAAAAAACATTACTATATGTAAATTATGCTTTAATTTTAAAAATGGAAAATAAATTTAATATATAGGTTTTGAACAAAAACAGACTCTTTTAAAAAACAAATATTATTAGTGCTTTGGATGAAAAAAAGAGCCATTTTGAATAGGATGGTCAGAAGAAGGCTGTTGTGAAGACACGTTTAACAGAAAGACATGGAATTGTTTAACTGAATGTGAAGGAGATATTTTACTAAAAGGTGAGAAAACATCTAGAAGAAGGGTAGCCCTGAGTTTGGGAGGTGATCGGATGGTTCAGAAGGCCAGGGGAAATTATTTCTGAGAACAGCTTGCATTTATTGTTTATTGTATATCAGACACTGTATTTATATTTTTACCTACAGTATTTTATTTAATCCCCACAAGAAACCAATGAGGTGGCTGTCATTAGTGCCTTTTTTACAGAAAATGAAAGTCAAGGCTTAGAAAAGGTTGATAAACTTATCCAAGAAATGTCAATGTCAGGATTCAAATTTGGGTCCCTCTGACTCCAAAGCCCATTCTTGTTATACCAGTGACTAGATAAATAACAATTAATTTTATCTTTTCTGTTTTATAACTTTCCACTTAAATTCAGATATGCATTAAACAAACATATTTTAATATTTTTTCATGTCGTACTGGGTAAAACTCAAGGATCATTGGGGAACTTAAACCCAGAGTTTCCTAAATTTCTGAAGCTATGAAATTTTCATTATTTTCTGACCAACCTCAACACCCTACAATTACCTCTTCACTGTGGTTTCTGTTATGTTTATTTTTTGTATAATATTGTTAATTTTCTCCATCCAGCCTATGTGATCAGCTCCGAGTTCTTCCACTTGTAGACCCATCTGTGTATTCCAGTGGTTTAGCTGGAAGAACATGTTCTCCTGACTCCTGCAGAAATATTATGATGATCAGTTTTTATGTATACAATTGGGAATGCCACACATGGCCCTAAACCCTCTCCCTCTGAATAGCAAGTTGGTCTTTTTATTCATTTTCTGTCATCAAAATAGGCCAGATAGGCAGTTAGGCCTCAGAAAGAAGTTTGGGAGTTTATTCGATATCCATTTTAACAGATCTTTATAAGGCTGGAGGAAATAAAGCATATTTTACATTTAGTAAATATATATGTATTTTTTTAGATTTCTCTGTATGGAGTGAATGATAAGTATTGATTTCAGGACAGTGGTTGGATCTTAGGTGGGAAGGAGAGGTATGAAATAAGGAAAAGGACTACAAGCGCTTAACAATATATTTTTAATGATAATTATAGTACTTTATCTATCTAGAAAATTATCTGAGAATGACAAGATGTGTATTAATTCCAGGCTTCAAAGAAAAGTTTTCAAAGAGCACCCCATGGCTCTGCCTGTATCCCTAGAATGTCCTTATTCTGTATTCTTGCTGTAATGTCGTTACTTGTGCACATGAGTGCTTCATGGTTCGATTCATGTATGGATTTTAAATCTTTCAGGCTTGCTCTAAGTCCTCTGTGAAATTTTATTTCCCCCTCCACAAAACATTATTACGTGTTCCCTCTTGCATGTATCAAGGCTTACAGTTCAGTGATGTTCTCCTCTGAAAACTCCAAAGAGGTGGACACTTGAGGATCCTCATGTTGAACTGTTTCTTCCTCATCCTGTTCACTCTTCAGGTCCTGGTTATGCTCAGCCTCCAGCTCCAACATATTCTGATAAAGATGAAAGAAGCAAAACAGAACAAAAGTGTTATCACAAGTGGCTGGGGTCCTTCTGGCCTACCCATTCCCTCTTCTCTGGGGGCAAGCACATAGACCTCTCTGAAGCCTTCTAATGCATTTGTAAGATAAGCAGACCTGGCCTCCTGCTCCATTGACAGAGGAAGGCTGGGACAGGGACATGTAGAACATTCATGTCCACAGACAGAGCTCTTTGAAGTGTTGATGAGTATTAAAACTCCATTCGTCCATGGACTCCAGCACTCCACCCAAATAAGATGACCGGTCTCTTCAAAAAAGTCAGTGTCAAAGAAAAGAAAGAGGGAGTGGGACTATTCTGTATTAAAAGAGAAATAAAATAACCAAAATATATTTCATAGATCTTGTTTGGATGCTGGTTTTAAAAAAAATATAGCCACAAAAGACATTTGTGGGACAATTGAGAGAATATTTTGAGAATTGAGAATATTAGAATATATTATGAAATTATTGCTAATTTTCCTAATGTGATAATGATATTTTGGTTATTAGAAGAAAGTCTTTATTTTTAGAGATGCCGTCTGAAATAAACAGGGATGAAGTATCTGTTGTCTTTGACCTACTTTTAAGAGGTTCAGAAAATTCCATTTACATATATAAAGATAAAACAAATGTGACAAATGGCAACAATTTTAAAGTATAAGTGTGAGAATGTGAATAATCATCATACAATTCTTTTAAGTTTTCTTTTTATTTGAATTTTTTCATAATAAAGAGTTCTGGGGGAAATCCTACTCTCAGTTTGACCCACAAAATTTATTTCTTTCTTTATCCTTTGCCTTGTTATAGAGAAACATTCAAGGCATTTTCTGGTATTTCAAGTCTGTGCATGCACACAATTGACAAGGATTTATCTTCGAACATTTCTCTTCTTTAGTAACTACACTCTGAAATATTTCCTCTGCCCTTTGAAGAAGTTCAGTCTGAAATTCTTATGTTTCAACAAAACTATTTTTAAACTGGAAGGAGAAAAAGTTGGAGGGGGGAGAACAAATCAATCTTTTATTAAAATATCTGCATAAATTCTGGCCAAGTCAATACAAATGACTAACATCCACATAACACTTAACAAATTTCTTTCATATGCATTCTTTCTGTTACTTCTCATGATAACCTCGAGGTGGACAAAGGTAATTATTGAAATCCCCTTGGCCATTCACATTTAGTGATCTTCCCAAGGTTGTATGGCATAGTGGTCACCTTAAAAAGATACGTCCATATCCTAATATTAAGACCCCGTGAATGTGACCTTATTTGGAAAAAGTCTTTGCAGATGTAATTAATTTAAGGATGTTAAGATGAGATTATCTTGGAAATCCTGAGTGGGCCATAAATTTAATGACAAGTGTCCCAGTGAGAGACAGAAAAGAAAATGCAAACACAGAGGTCGTATGAAAATAGAGGCAGCCACAAGCCAAGGAATGCCTGGAGCCACCGCCAAAAGCTAGAAGAGGCAAGAAAGGATTCTTCCCTAGAGCCTTCGGAGGGAGCGTGACTCTGCTGAGCACTTGATTTCAGAATTCTGGCCTCCAGCACAATGAGAGAATGTGTTTTTGTTGTTTTAAGTCACCACCTTTGTGGCAAGTTTTTACAGCAACTACAAGGAACCAATACACATGGCTAGAAAGTGTATGGACCAGAACTTGAACTAGTTTTTCTGATTCCAAGGCCATGACTTTTTTCACTATATCCAGGATTCAGACTAAGAAATATCTAGTCCATACCACTGCCACTTCCACAACCCATCGGCACCTCACCAGTGATGTAGGGATAATTATCACATACATAGATGGAGAAACTAAGGCTAGATGTTCCAAGTATCATATGACTCCACTGTATCTTAACTATCTCTTTGTGAAAATAAAAAGCATTCACGGTTTCAATTTCTTCCCACCAAATCTTTTGCTAAGATATTCAAAAGCAACAGAAGCACTGTGGTGTGAAAAAAGAACACTACATTGGGAATTGGAGAACCTGAATTCTAAGCCTTGTTCTACTGCTATGGATGTTGAACCAACTAACTACTCTAACATTCAGTTTCCTGCTCTGGAATAAGAAAATTGGACCAGATCACCTCTGAGGTTCTATGTCCAGTTTTCTATGATGACATTTCTTATCTTCATCAACCAATTCATTGTCATGGTTAATATACCACAAAAGAGTTGAAAAGCACAATAGAAATAAGCGATTTTTTTAAATCTGCAGGATTGAACACATAGTTATGTGTGTATGTTTTTAATAACAAACTGAACATGTGCTTGCATGAAATACACAGCCTGAGGGCATTACTTTCCATTTATGTGCAGCTCTTTGAAGGGCTTATATTTCTTTTTTGGATGTTTCATAGGCACCTCAGATTCAGCAAACAAAAAACTGAACACATCATATTTTCCCTCTACTTTGTCCAGGTTCACCATCTTGCATAATCGACTCCTTATCTATCCAGATGCCTCTGCCAGAACCCTGGAATTGGTTCTTGAGTTTTCATGGGAGACATTCTTTTCTCTCTTCATTACCCATGTCATATCCACTGTGTCCAAGCCCAAGAATACCTATCTTTTAAATCTATGTCTTTTCCCTCTGTTCTTCGTGGCATCCCTGCTGCCAGTCCTCATCAATTCTTGAATCCTATCCTCATCTGGCTTCCAGTCTGCATCCCGCTCTATCTCCACTTCCTTAGTGTCCGGCCTACCTGCTTGCCCTTCACGCCTTTTCTTTTACCCTTCCTCTCTCAGAACAGTTTCTCTCTGGCCCCTTTGTCTTTGCGTGTGCTGTCTCATCTTTCTAAAATGATTTGCTCCCATTCAGTTTATCCTTCAAAACTCAGTCGTCATATTCCCAGTCATCCATCTCCCTGTGCAGCCCCTGCCACGACTGTGTAGCACATCTGCTACTCCAAGCATGAATTTATCAGACATAGCCATTTCCTTGTCTGAGTCCCTCCAAGTGTGAGAGCTCACTGAAGTGAAAGGATTTGATATATATGTATCCTCAGCACTTGACAGTGCCTAGCACATAGTCGATGCAAAATAAGTGGTTTTAGAATAAATAGACTTCAGCAGTAAGCAAATACATTCTGCTCGTGAGAGATGCAAATAAAAGCAGAAAATAGGAAAGTATGTTCACTCACCTGACACTTGAAATCAACACTGTATAGAGCAGTGCCAGGGATCAGAAAATGTGAAAGCAGAGCAAAATATTCATTTGTAAATATTTTGGGGGACTCGGATGATTAGATATGGCATCTTTGGCAGTTTGGCTAATGACTATTTTGTTAATTAAACCGACAATTAAAATTTTTTAACTTCTATTAACTTTCTCCGTTTTCTGAATTTGTCCTTTAAATCTTATATTCTTCCCTTATAAAAAGACAAATGTAAGATTCTGAAAAGTAGAGACCTTCTGATTTGCTTCCAGAGAATAAGAAAAATGTTTCTTCCTTAAGAAGTCATATATTTGTCATTTTATCAGCAGAGAGCCTAATTTATTAATACTCATTTGTTAATTATGTAACTGCATGTGATTTATTTTTATGTAATTACAGAATTTTCCTTAGAAATAAATTAATATAAAGAAATACAATCATAAAAACTTTTTAAACCTTTTGTTAAACCTTGTGCCCTGATTTGAAGTTTGTAAGAAATAATCTATATGCCTTATACCCTGAGACTATGGGCTACTTGAGAAACTCTTACAGAATGAATAATTTTATTCTCTAATTAGACTTATTCTGTCCCGAGTCAACAAGTGATGGTGTCACAGTTCACTGACTAACAGGATTCATTCAGCAGGGCACACTGATGGTGAATGCAGGGAAGGTGTCATGGCAGAGTAGGTCCAATGATAGCAGCATTTTCCTGGAGTCCAGGGACAAGCCACCCACAAAGAATCAGATGATACTATTTGCAAAGTAATACCTTTGATTCACATGTTCCCTGAGATCATAGCCCCCCCATACATCAGTTTCTTTATTTTTCTTTTCTCATTCTCAGACTTTCTGAAAACTTAATCCTAAGACTCCCCTTCTAATTCAGTTTCTATTATTCTTTTTTTTTTTTTCCATAAAAGGTATCTGTCTGGCTGTCTATCTCTCCTTTCACTTTTTGTTTGTCTCATTATTATCTATTCTCCAGACCTCTACCTCCATTCTTTCACGCCTTCTATTTCTTTGGGGTGTTGTTGTTGTTGTTGTTGTTGTTGTTGTTGTTGTTGTTTACCTACTGTAGAGTCCTTGAAGGTAAAGTCCAGCTTAGAATATTCTTTGGGAACCTTTCCTTCTGTGGGTTTGCTGAGTTAGCCATCCTCAATTTCAAAATATATTCAAAAGAGAAGTAGACAGATGGATCCTAAGCTTCCTTTGGGGCCTGGGAGCAAGAAAGTCCCACTCCATCCTTTCCTTATGTTTTTCTGACTGGTTGAAACCACCTTCCTCTGTAGCCAATAGCCTGGGGAATCTATGGAGAGATTGGCTCATCAATAATAAAAGGGATCTTGGCCATGCCTTTGCTTTGATCTAAATGGTAGTGAAAGCATAAACTCTTTCCAGGACAAGCTCAGGCTTTGTCTTAACTTTCTTCATTCCACATCAGCTGGGTGACTGAACTTCAAAGACTGAGAGAGGTTCAGACTGAATAAGGAGTAAATAGATCTTTCTGACTCATTCTATTGGAAGACAATCTGTGAGCAGAGGGCAATTTTACATACAGCAATTTGCTCTAAGGTGGAAAATGTCACAAATCTCAAGGACAAAAGTAACAAGTGCTGCACAGATTTTTGCATGGGAAGGTTACTAAGTCTCTTTTGTTATGACAGCAGCCCTTGGGGGAGGCAATGCCTCTTCTGGTTTCAAGCTGTGAACATCCTGCACCTATTTGTTATAAGGAAATCCTCACAGAATTCCTTACTGCTTTGAGATATGAAAAATGAAGTTCCTTTCTTCCCCCACTGTGACATTTAAATTTCTCCCTTACCCATTTTTTAGTCTCCACCTCTTGAAGGTAGTCAGTTTGAGAGTTTTCAGAGAAGAGGCCTTCCTCAACATCTGATTTGTCCGAGAAGTGGTCCATTTTGTTAAATTCCCTTAGCAAACTGTAAGGCACACAATCAGAACAGATATTGTGATTATGTCTTCGGTCTACAGTTTAGGTCTGCCCTAAACATTTCTAGAGGTAGAACACTGGGATCCTTCCGGGACCCAAAAAGCACCCACTATCCTTGCTCTGATTTCTTTCTGTGTGAGCGATGTCTAGCACAGTTTATTGTACAAGATAGGAATAGAGAGGCTGGATAAATATCTGTTGACTGAATCAATACACAATTTACCAGTGAGATTCCAAATTGCAAAGCTATTGCAGCTGTGCAGCTGTGTGTGTACACATGCACAAATGTGTATAATAATCAATTCTTTTTAAAAAGTAGAATTAAAAAGTGTCATATGGTTCAAAAGACTGTGCAGAAACGAGTAAGTCTATGATATCATCTTGATCTCAAGCCCCTAGATGTCCTTCCCCAATGTTTACTAGCTTCTTGATTCTTCTACAGAGATTTTATATATAAATAAGCATCTAAGTTTATGTAAATACATATGCCTTTTTAAATATAAACGAAAGGATATTATACATAATATTCTGTACCACATATTTTTTTTAACAGCCTATCTTGGAGTCCATTTCATATTAGTACATACAAAGTCACCTCATTTTAAAAATGGTTATATGGTATTCTATCATGTGTCTCTCTAATAATTTGCTAATCGGTATTTATTAATGGATACGTAGATTGTTTCCAATCAATTGCTACTATAACCAATGCTGCAATGACTATCCCTACACATCTATATGTCAGTGTGTATATGTACAAGTGTATCTATTGAATAACCCTAAAAATAGAATTGCTGGGTCAACATATGTGTATTTTAAATTTTGATATATTTTACCAAATTACACTCTCAAGAGGTTAAATCCACTTACATTTCCAGAAAAAAAATGATAAGAATTCCTCTTTTCCACTCTTTTTCTACAACCATATATTATTAAAGGTTTTTATCTTTTCCAATCCTGTATGCTTAAATTGGTATCTCATTTTAGTTTTATCTCTTTTTATGAGTGAGGTTGAGCATCTTTACCTATATGTATAAAACTAATTTGTATTTTTTTCATGATAATTGTGTTGATATCCTTTGCCAATTCCCTATTGGACTATTATTATTTTGCTGGAATGCATATATGTGTATATAAGAATATACACATGGACACACACACTCACATATACTTCTGAATGAATCACAGTATATTTGTAATGGAGGTTTATGACAGTGCTCCCAGTCTGTGGGCATTCTATATCTACCCTGCATAGAAAGAAGTCCTGGAATCTACATACATTTCTATAGACTGAATAAGTATTGTTTACATTAATAAACACTATTCAAAGTTTCTAAATATATATGCTACTGTTATTAGTAAATTATAAATGCATTTTCAAACATCTTTGATATCATAATAGCTTTTTTGATGTATGAGGGGGCCTGGAAAATCTACTTTAAAAAAGTTTTTCCTATTTAAAAAGATTGTTAACCATCGGTTTATATTAGTATCCATTTTTTATCCTGTATTTAAAAATGCATATATGTACTTACATGAATATTTGGACTTCCTCTACTCTAGAAAATATTTCAAATGGTTTATGCCTTTAGCAAGTGGAGGTATTGAAAACACAAAACAAAAAAAGTATTTTTGTAAATTTAGACTAGAGTCTCGACCATTTCTTTTCAACTAATATCTGCCTAGTTTGTGATTGTAGTGTCTCACAGGTCCTACCACAATAAACACTCATGAGGTCAAATTAGAAGAATTGTAGAGAATAATGTCATCCTTAATCCTGAACTTGGAAAACTCATTATTTGAGTCCTATTGGCCCGATGAAGTCTCCAGACAGGCCTCCAGAAACTGCTCCTGAGAGCTCAGCGCTGGCTTACTTCTCCATTGCACCTTCATCCGCATCTATATTTTGAAGAAAGCCGTTGTTTTTCTCGGTTAACTGTTGTTTCTTCCCAACTGCCTTTATCTGCAGAGACATCTTGTCACTTAGCCATTTGTTCAGCACTGCAGGGACAATGATGACAACAAGAGGGGTTTTGTAGCGGGTTTGGCAACTACATTCCCTATGCTGGTATGCTGATAGTGGGCTAATTTCAGGAAGTTTGGCCTCAATCTCTCCTCTTCTAAATAGACCATTAATTGGTCAAATAAGCTCTTAGGCTTTTCTGCTCAAATATATATGGGAAGGTCTTGTGTGTGGCTGTCCCTACAGACTTCTCTGGTTAACGTGACAGTTGTCTGAACCTGTAACTATGTATTTTGAATCCTTGAGTGGAAATAATGTAGAGCAATACAAAATAGCCAGGCTAGGGAGATGAGAAACTTCATTTTTATAACCTCTTTCACATCATATATATGCACATTGTAAGAAATAGAAAACAACAAAGAAGAAAATAAAAATCATTGCTACTGCAGAGATAACCAGAGAAACTCCAGAGATATCCAAACAAAACCACTGTTAATATTTTGCTGTATTTCTTTCCATTTTAAAATTTGATGTTTTTTAAATTCTTTTCCTATTTTTGGCAATTAGGTGATTTCTAAGTTTTCACTATTATAAATAATGCAGTAATGAATATCCTTGTCTAATAATTTTCAGTGCATCTCTATAATTTACTTGGGATATTTCTCTGGAAGTAGAATTACTGGGAATATAATATACAGATTTTTAAGGATTTAGAAAAATATTTCCAAATTACTCTTCTAAAGGTTCAGCCAATATACACCATCACCAGTTGGTGGTGTGAGAATAGGAAACTTCATTCTAGCCTTATAAGCAAGTGTTAGCTGGGAGCAGAGACTTGTTAGAGTACTTAAGTAGTTAGTGAAAAAAAATAAAGATGAAAGGAAATAGGCAAATAAAGATGAAAAGAAGAGATGTGTGAGACAGGTATTGCATATGAAAAGCTATAAGAAAGAATATAAAACATAACTCCTGTTTATAGAGAGAAATCAGAGGACTCGTACCCAGCCCCAAACAGGAAGAAACCTTCTTCTCTGTTTACTCAAATGAGTGACCGTAGTAAAATGGCCCAGAACTGGAGAGTAGCTTGGCTCCCAGAACCCTGAGAGTCAGGATCCCAGAGGGACAGAGAAACCGTAGAATGGTGGGAAGGGAAGTAAGAGTGGGGATTTCCCTAGAAGGCTGATTTATAGCTGATATTAGGAACGGGAGAGGAAGGAAAGAGGCACTGTGAACCACAGAAATCTTGGAATCATCTGGGTAACCCAGGGCCTGGTCTATCACTATAGTAGCAAAATTGAATTTTGTCCTTGACCTGTGCAGGGATCCACAATGGCTGTGATGCAAAGGGGATCCCAGTGAAGGAGAAACAACAGGAAAAGGCTAAAAAATTTTAATGTGAGATAGCTCCATCCTTCCTAACTTTGAGTGTAACAAAGAAGAATAAACCTTTGATCTCTTTTCAAGGAATGAAACTGAGACCTGCCCAGTTCCTATCTGGACAGTTTCATCTGTTTCCTGAAAGTATTACTAAGAAAATTCCAAGCTCTGAAAGATGAATGGCCCATGAGATCTGCCTGGTTTTGTGCGTCTTTCCTTCCAAAAATTAGAATACTGTATAAATAATAAGAATTCTTTATTTTAGTAACTCTCCGACATCCCAGTAGCTTCCATTGGGTAATTTTAAAAAAACATGTATTTCTCTAAATCCAGGTACCTACACAAAATCTGCCTTCAGATATTTTCTCACATTTCAAATAGCAGTTAGTATCCTAATGATGGCTTGTGTTTGTGCAGCTCCTAATATAATAGATTCCAAAGTGCTTTTCATGTATTTCCTTATTCAAGTCCCACAACAACACAGTGAGGACAATATTGTCCCTGTTAACCAAAGCTCTGGGAGATGGCATGATTTGCTTAGAGTCATATAGCTGGCAAACTGGCAAAGCCAGGACTCAGAATTTCCATGTCCTCATAGCTACTTGTCAGGATTTCTCTCCTGCTCCCAAAGATGATCTAGATCAGGGGTCTCCAATACGACTTTCTGTGCTGATGGAAATATTCTCTGCCCTGTTCCATGCAGCAAGCACTAACCACGTGTGTCTATTCAGCACTTGAGATGTGGTTAATTTTTAATTTAAATAAGTTTAAATTTAAATAGCCACATGTGGCTACTAGACACCATATTGATCAAGTTTGACTTTTCTAGACCAGGGATCAGTAAATTGGAACCCACAGGCCCAATCCATCCTGTTATCTGTTTCTGTAAATAACATTTTATTGGAACATGGCCACAACCTTTCCTTTACATATTGTTTATGACTATTTATGCGCTGCAGTGACAGGGTTGAGTAGTTGCAAGAGAGACCAAAATTTGGCATACAAAGCCTAAAATATTTAATACCTTACCCTTTACAGAAAAAGTTGGCCAACTCTAATTCTATACCATCACCTTCTACGATGCTGGGTGTTTGCTACAATGAGTCAACTGAATATAGTGAATAAGAGCTTGAGTTTTGAAGTCAGGGCAAGGTCATATCACAGCCTCAACACTTAGCACTGGGGTGTAACCATAATGTTCTAGGCCTTACTTTCCTCTTCTGCAGAATGGGGCTAACATTAGTACTACTAATGTGATTAGAGTTGTGGACAGTAAACCGAATAATCCTACTGTGCTTAACAGCATCAGATAGATGTAAATGTTTGGCAATGTTATCTGTCTATTAAAGTAAAAGTAGTGGAAATGGGAGTTAGTGTGTTTTCTTTAGCTTCAAATGTAATGATGATAATAATAAGTTACACATGTACAGCACTTTCCATTTATACAGCATTTTTACTGAGTCATTTCATTTGCCCTTCACATCCATCCTGTGGTCAGGCGACACAGATAGATCTTATTACCTCATTTTTTAGATGAGAAAACTGAGACTCAGAGATGATCCATAATTCGCCCAAAGTTTTATTTGCAGGATTTAAACCTGCAAATTCTAGCTGCAAGTTTTATAAT